AATTTGTGTGGATCCTTTTTGTTACATCGGAAAGTTCAAACGCGAGTAAACTTGTTAACGGTAACGTGTCAAAAAGCGAAAAGCCACCACTTTATAAGACGACCTAGTAAATGCATCCAAATCACACGAGTTTTACTAGCGAACTAATTTTGTTCATGCGCCAAAGGCTTCTCTTTGGAGATGTGTAGGAAACGCCAGGTAGAAGTTACGAGGTGTGTGATTTTACGTATTCACGTTTTTTTGTGCCAAGTCGACATGGACACTAATAGTCACGAGTATGACTTATACCCTGTAAGTGAGCGTTCAGTACGTGATCGCTGCGCGCACCGGAAGTGACGTGCACTTGATAGAAGTTGCGTGGATAAGCTGTTGCCAGCATGCTTTGCTGATATCCAGCGATGTATGTTGGAAGCAGCTTATCCACATAGCTTCTATCAAGTGCACGTCACTTCCGGTGACACGCCTACCCCAACTCTCGGATATCGAGTATAGCTGTTGAAGGAGCGTGTCAAGGCAGACCATTGTATTGCGGATGAGCAACTTTTGCTCTGCATTAACTTGCTGAGAAGTACCATTGACAGAAACGCTTTCACGCAAATGTTGCTCATATTTTTCAAGGCCACGCTCTCATTTTTTGTGCGGAATATTTAATCACGCTGAAAATTATTTGTCTTTGCAAGTGTTTGTGCTCGAATTGCAGAACTCTTTGCGATGGCGGTGCGAATGTAAATCTTCCTAATGCTAAAGGAGAAACTCCTCTTTTCACTGCTGTTCGCCGCGGTGATGAACAAATTGTGCGGCAGCTTCTTGCTTCTGGCGCAGATCCCTCCAAGAAAACCGACAAGGTATGAGTTATAGATGTGCTTAGCTCGTTCACTTACGGTGCAGGCATTACTCTACTTATTATGTGAAATACTTGATGTGTGATTCTTTCTATTTCTGCTATCTTCGCAGCGCTCTTTCAGCGCCTGTTTATGGGTGTTAATGGTTGCGTTAACCGTCCGTTCGGTCCAGAAATTTGACCGGTACCCTACCACCAATATCAATTTGACCGGGTTCCCCTGTGGCGACTCCCCTACCCCCAGCTCCGTGAGATATCGGTCAGACTCTGCGATTGCATCGCGCGATGC